ATGATTTTATTTGAACATATCTGTATTTTAAACTTGTGACGGCTTTTAGCTAATACAATAAACTTGAACTAGTAATTAGGAGGAAGATGTGCATGATGTTCTGTTCTGCTAGTACATCAATGCTTACATTTGCTAAGCAAAAGCAAAAAAGCAAAGTGTGCTGCTTATGTACCGCCCCATAGTGCTTCAAGCACTCTCTGGGGTTTACAAGTTAATTATGCAGGCTACACATTGCCCCCCCCCCAGCAAGCTGGGTACTCATTTAACCGACCTCGGAAGGATGGAAGGTTGAGTCAACCTTGAGCCAGCTACCTGAATCTGTCAGGATCAAACTCAGGTCATGAGCAGAGGTTTGACTGAAGTACTGCATTTAAGATCTTTCTGGTAATGCCTGAAAAGCTCCTCCTTGTTGTCCCTGAATGACACTATTAAGTGGAACTAAATGTTACCCATACATGGTTCTTCACTATAGTTATGGTTAGAGGAAAGAAACAGGTTGTTCTTTACACTTTTCTAGCCTGTAAAAAAATATTTTCACATATTTTTCCAGCAATTAAATATCCAGTCTGTGTTTACAGAATAACAGAAAACATAAGATGAATAATTGGAATAATAATATAATTTGTTGTCTTTGGGGCAAAAGGGGGGGGGTATTTATCTATTTCTGCATTTTTGTAACTCTCCTCTGCCTCTTAAAGCACAGATCACCCAGTTAAAACATTTGGTTGGAAGAGGAGAGAGCACTCAGACATTCAGTTTTGAAAGTCATATAATATGTTATACAGATGCAGAAATACAGGGCATAGCCTTGCTAAGAGGAATCCATATTCTTAAACATCATCTTCAATGACTTGTTTTTTTAAAAAAAGTTTAGATGGCTAACATTTGCCAAGCTAACAACTACAAAAGCAAGGGTAGGTGATGTATTGATTCATAGGAAATAGGTACAGCTCTATGAGAAATAAGGCAAGGTTGCTACAGACTTTTTCCTGCTGATAAATTTCCATCTTAAGTATAAAACAGTAGTTTGTTCTACCCAACAATGAATGGTGGGAAGGATGTAGTTTTCAGTATGCCATCAAGAATGGAGCTAAGAGTATTAATAATGAAAAAAAGTTGGCAGCAATTTCTGTTTGTTTCCTCTTGTACCAAAGTCATAGAAAACATTGATGTCTTCCTTTCATATCCGTTTTGATTAGTCGTAGCCATTATTTCCTGCACTGTTGCTCTTTCCTGTGAGTATCTTTATTTAATTTCTCTACTGATTGCTCTACAATAATAGCATTTTTCAGTTGTTTTACAAAATTACCATACAACAAACATTTGATAGGAATATGAATGTACTATTTTGCAGTATTTATTTCTTGTAAACAGCTGTAGACAAAAATATCTTAGGGCAGTCTGTGTAAGATACTAATAAACAGGAATATCCAAGCCACAGGATTGCAGATTTACAAGTGGAAGGAATAATAATAACCTAATGCCGCATTTCCCCGAAAATAAGACCGGTTCTTATATTAATTTTTGCTCCAAAATGCATTAGGGCTTATATTTAGGGGATTTTTTTTCATGTACAACAATCTACATTTATTCAAATACAGTCCTGCCATCGTCTTCTAGTTGCTGCACAAGGGTGGAGGGTGGAGTTTCACTTAACTGGGGCTTATTTTTTGGGGTAGGGCTTATATGATGAGCATCCTGAAAAATCGTATTAGGGCTTATTTTCAGGTTAGGTCTTATTTTCGGGGAAACAAAGTAGTATTCTACCAAGTATTTAAAGGTGCTGTTAAATTATGCTAGCATGGAGGAATTAAGAATCTTGTTTGTAATCATAGGATATCTTTAGGAAAACTGATGTTTGAATGCTCTGCATACTTAGTTTGGTGATTAAGTGGTAACTGTTTAGTAGTTTGATTTTAGGTAGTTGCACTGTAAAGAAAGTGGTGTATTTTTCATTGAATCAACTTCATTTGATTTGTGCTTTCTAAAACAATTTTCCTTCTGTGTCAAGTATGTCCCTGGAAGTTGTTCTGTTTACTTTTTGTTTTGGTTGTGAAAGCCTTCGAGAATACTTTTTGCTTTATTTACATTTTCAGTTGAATGGAGCTAAGAGTATTAATAATGAAAAAAAGTTGGCAGCAATTTCTGTTTGTTTCCTCTTGTACCAAAGTCATAGAAAACATTGATGTCTTCCTTTCATATCCGTTTTGATTAGTCGTAGCCATTATTTCCTGCACTGTTGCTCTTTCCTGTGAGTATCTTTATTTAATTTCTCTACTGATTGCTCTACAATAATAGCATTTTTCAGTTGTTTTACAAAATTACCATACAACAAACATTTGATAGGAATATGAATGTACTATTTTGCAGTATTTATTTCTTGTAAACAGCTGTAGACAAAAATATCTTAGGGCAGTCTGTGTAAGATACTAATAAACAGGAATATCCAAGCCACAGGATTGCAGATTTACAAGTGGAAGGAATAATAATAACCTAATGCCGCATTTCCCCGAAAATAAGACCGGTTCTTATATTAATTTTTGCTCCAAAATGCATTAGGGCTTATATTTAGGGGATTTTTTTTCATGTACAACAATCTACATTTATTCAAATACAGTCCTGCCATCGTCTTCTAGTTGCTGCACAAGGGTGGAGGGTGGAGTTTCACTTAACTGGGGCTTATTTTTTGGGGTAGGGCTTATATGATGAGCATCCTGAAAAATCGTATTAGGGCTTATTTTCAGGTTAGGTCTCATTTTCAGGAAAACAGGGTAATAATAACCTTTGAACTGCAGAGCTGGAAGGGCCCCTGTGGATCATCCAGTCCAGCCCCTCTGAAGGAAGTACAATGGGAGTTGAACTCCCAGACTCTGGCTCCGCAGTCAGAGACCTAAGTCACTGAGCTATCTAGCAGAGGAAAGCAAAGCCACCAGTCTTAAAATGACGAGCTTGAATAGAAATAATTTGGGAATAGAAGCCAAGTAGCAACACATCTTCATAAGCCTTAAGTAGATCTATGTATTATGTTTTCCTCCACAACGAACATATGGTTTATACACATTTCCTTTCAAGAATGCTGGGGTTAGGGATGTTTGACCCCCATGTAGTTTAAAATTAATGTATAACTTTTATGCTCCCCCAACTGTAACTACAAAGCATAAACAGTTTATTTGGGGTGAGGGGCACAGTTCTCTCTATTAGGATTGTCTTCTGTAGCGTTGACAGTCCTTTCCATACACTAGCCTTGTGGCACAGTGGTTAAACTGCAGTGAAGACTCTGCTTATGACCTGAGTTTGATCCTGGGCTGAGGTAGCTGGCTCAGGGTTGACTCATCCTTCCGAGGTTGTTAAAATCAGTCCCCAACTTGCTGGGGAGCGGGGTTAGAAAGTGTAGCCTCCATAAGTCAATTGCAATATTAACTTGTAAACTACCCAGAGAGTGCATTAAGCACTATGGGGTGGTGTAGTATAAGTAGCACACTTTGCTTTATTTTTTACAGTACCATGTGTAATGAGTCTTAAAGGTCCTTATGACCCCCTGATCTAGAGTCTGGATTATAGATATGTTTGAGGGAAAAAAAAAACCCACTTCAGCGCCTTTGGTGTTGA